TCAGAATCCGTCACTTCCGAAGGGCTGACCAATAAGAAGCCTCGTCCCGCCCCCCGACGCGGGGCGGGGCTGCCTACAGGCTCAAGGGCGACGCGGGGCGGGGTCTCCTGCAATCGCAGGCGCAGAGCCGTCCCCGCTCAGACGGCGCTTTCTGGTTGCTAGGCGACCTCCGTGCACCCTGCGCTCCTGCGTCTCTCTTCTGTGTCACTTCCTTGCTGGGCTCAAGCCGTCCTCTGCTCGGCAGCCAGAGTAGTGTAGTGATTCTTTCTTTCTTTTCTTTTCTTTTTTTTTTTTTTTTTTTGAGTCGGCGTCTCATTCTGTTCCCCCAGGCTGGAGTGCAGTGGCACGCTTACGGCCACCGCAACCTCGACCTGCTTGCCTCCGCCTCCGCCTGTAATCCCCGCACTTTGGAAGGCAGAGGCGAGAGGATTGCCTGAGTCCACAGGTTCGAGACCAGCCTGAGCAACATAGCGAGACCTCATCTCTACAATAAATCGAAAAATTACCTGGGCGTATTGGCGCGTGCCTGTAGTCCAGCTACTTGGAAGGCTGAGGCGCAAGAATCGCCCGAGCCCAGCAGGTCGAGGCTGCGGTGGCTGTGGGCGTGCTACTGCACTCCAGGCTGGGCGACGGAGTGAGACTCCAGTTTTTATCCTCACAACAGCTGTATAAATAGGAGCTATTAACCGTATCTTATTTATCATTCTAATTTATCTCAGTGTCTCATCTTGCCTCATCTGAGGCAAAGAGAGGTTAAGTAGGTTGTTCAAGGTCACACAGCCAGTAAGTGGCAGGTGCTGGGACTCAGGCGCCAGAGCTCCTGATCCTCACCCCCTGGCTTTGATTGGGGCTTTTCATTGCTCCCGTGGAGCCTAGTTACACACCCTGTCCCTGGCCTCAGTCTTTCTTTCAAGTGACCTCCACACTGTCACAAAAGACTTCTCTTCGTGAATTGACCTGAGGACAGCCAAGGGAAGACTTCGAAGGTTAGGACAGGGAAATGACACGGACACTTCAGCTGGGTGGACAGCAGATGGGAAGGGGCTGGGGTAGAGACAGGAAAACCACAAAAGAAGACTGAGCAAGGCTGGTAGCCATGGAGCACAAAGTTTGGGCAGAGTCCAAAGGTGTTCAGCGCGTGGAATGGGTGGGCAGACCTGGGGGACAGAAGTGGGAGGAGGCAGTGATTGAGGGCCTTAACCACTGGCTGCTGCTGGACTTCACCTCAGAGATGGGAAGCTGGAGGGAGGCCAGGCTGGGGGATGGGCCAGCACTCAGGCATTCAGTGTGTTCGGTTCCCAGGCTTCTTTTATGATATTCAGCTCACAGGATTGCAACAATGATGTGTTGGCACGTTTGGTTTACTCATTGGTAAAAACAGGGATCCGGCCTCTTTATTAATTCTCCACCCTGCTCCACAGAAGATTGGAGGTGGCTTACAAAAACACACAGACGACTTTATCTGCAGGCTCTGTGACAGCAGAGGACTTCTCTGTCATGTCCCTCCACATCTTCTGGCCTAGCCCAGAGCCTGGCATGTGGCCAGGGCTTTTTAAATACATGTTATTTGAATGAACAAAAGGATCACAAAAATAGACATAGGAACAAGGGAGACATAGGTTTGGAAACTAATCAAGGCAGGAGGAGGAGCATTAAGTGGGCTGACCTGGGGCACAGAGCTCCCACGCCACAGCTCACAAGCTAGGCACCCATGGCAACGCTGATGATCCTCTCGGTGCCAAATGGCCTCTCTGTAATAGGGAGTCAGCCGGACTCGGTGGCTCAGCCTGTAATCCCATGCTTTGGGAGGCTGAGGTCAGTGGATTGCCTGAGCCCGAGGGTTCGAGACCCGCCTGGGCAACTTGGAGAGACCTCATCTCTACAATAAATCAAAAATTAAGCCGGGCTCGGCGGCTCAACTTGTAATCCCGCGCTTTGGGAGGCCAAGGTGAGTGGATTGCCTGAGCCCGCGGGTTCGAGACCTGCCTGGGCAACTTGGCGAGACCTCATGTCTACAATAAATCAAAAAAATTAGCCGGGCGTGGTAGCGCACGCCTGTAGTTCCAGCTACTTGGAAGGCTGAAGTGGAAGGATCGCCGGAGCCCAGCAGGTCGAGGCTGCACTCCAGTCTGGGCGACAGAGTGAGACTCCAACTCAAAAAAGAAAACAAAACAAAACAAAACAAAACTTATGGTATGTCATATAACAGGAAAATATGAACCCTAAGAAAGAATGAAAATGTTCTTTGTTGATTCAGGATTATTTATTTATTTGTTTGTTTGTTTATAGTTGGAGTCTCACTCTTTCCTCTGTCACCCAGGCTGGAGTGTAGTGGCACGCTCACGGCCACCGCAGCCTTGACTGTTTGAGTTCAAGCGATCCTTCTGCCTCAGCCTTCCAAGTAGCTGGAACTATGGGTGTGTGTCACCAGGCCCATCTAATTTCTGGATTTATTGTAGAGACAAGGTCTCACCAAGTTGCCCAGGCTGGTCTCAAACCCCCAGGCTCAAACAATTCTCTCTCCTCAGCCTCCCAAAGTGCTGAGATTACAGTCTTGAGCCACCATGCTTGGCCCAGGATATATTTTTAAATCTAAAACAGTGGTTGGCGTGGTGGCTCATGTCTGTAATCCTAGCACTTTGGGAGGCAGAGGTGAGTGGTTTGCCAGAGCCCAGGGGTTTGAGACCAGCCTGGGCAACTTGGTGAGCCCTCGTCTCTATAATAAATCAAAAAAATTAGCCAGGTGTGGGGTGGTGCCCTCCTGTAGTTCCTGCTACTTGGAAGATTGAGGTGGAAGGATCGCTTGAGCCCAGCAGGTCAAGGCTGCAGTGGCCGTGAGTGTGCCACTGTAGTCCATCCTGGGTAACAGAGTGAGACTCCAACTAAAAAAAAAAAAAAAAAAAAAAATGCCAGGAACAAAGCAGTGTATAATGAGATGTTACCATGTGTGTAACAAGGGGAGAAAAATAATTATATAATGTTGGTTTATGCAGAAAATAGCTCTGGAGGGTTCAAAAGAAACGGATTACACAGCTGTCTCCAGGGTAAGGAGTAAACAGCCTGGGGTTGAGGAGCAGGAGTGGGGAGGGTTTTCTCCCAAATGCCCTTTGAAATCGTTCATGTTTGGGATTATGGGAATATATCACCTGTTCAAAAATGAATTAAACTTAAATTAAAAAAGCAATTAAGACTTTTTTTCTCATCTTAAAATAAAAAAAGCCTCTCTTGGCCCCCTTTCCCTCCAGCGAGTGCCCCATTTTTCTGCTCCCTTTACTAGCAAAACTACTTGAAAGAGTTGTCTGTACTTGCTGTTTCCAGATCCTCTCTTCTCTTCCTCTCTACAACCTGCTCCAGTCAGGGTTTTGCCCCTGCTGCTCCACCGAAGCTGCTTTTTCATGGTCACGAATGGCCTCCATGTTGCTAAATCAATGGTCATTCTGTCCTCAGCAGCAATGTTTGTCCCAGCAGATCCAGCGGATCCTTCCTCCTTCAAACACCTTTTTCCTGTCATCCACCCAGTTTATCCTCCCATCTCACAGACTCCTCTCCCCACCTCTAAATGCTGGCAGGCCTCAGGCTCACTTTCTGCTCTGTCTACATTTGTGCCTGGTGTAGACACATGCCTTTGCACAGCACCTACCACTGATGGCTCCACCTGTCCTCTCCAGCCCGGCCCTCTCCCTGAGCCCAGGCCACTGGCCTGCATCACAGCTCCATGTGGTCACTCAAGCTTAAGATGGGCCATGACAGAACTCCTGGCTGTCTCTCACCACGAACCTGCTCCTGTCACAGTCCTTCCCATCTTAAAAAACGGCTTCTTGGCTAGGCAGGGTGGCTCACACCTATGATCCCACACTTTGGGAGGCCAAGGTAAGAGGATTGCCTGAGTCCAAGGGTTCAAGACCAGCCTGGGCAACTTGGCGAGACCTCATCTCTGCAATAAATCAAAAAATTAGCCAG